ATAATTAATACGTGCCTCCTCCAGTCTCCTTTGCAATGGCTATTCAGTGGACTAGAAAAATTTGGGAGGGTGTTGGCGAAAAAACATGATTTGATGATTTCTTCACTTGATTAGATTTGCACAAGGCGGATTCAACCTAAGGGAGAGAGTAGCTACCACATACACCAGGGACATATCGGGTAGAAAAATAATCGCTTCGCTTTACGCGAATAAATTCGAGGCTAAGTACAATGAAGAAGATGTTTGAATTGGTTAAGCTTGCGACGGACAACTCTCTCTCGTAATATAATTTGTAACGTTGAACTTGGCTCGTCTGAGCTGACTCGCATAATATCAGGTAACAAAATACCACGTTACAAATCAAACATAAATAATTATGGATATTCCAACTTGCTTAATTAATATTACATTAATAAGCTCCTTAAATTAGTTAAAATGTTTGTTTCAATATTTTGTAATCGAATTACACTGTCGGTAAGTAAACGGGCAGAGGATTCCTTATAAATATTTCATATCACTCATAAACAATTTTTTAAATTATAGACTACTTCTGATTGTCAAAGTGAATCCGGTCGAAGTATTTACTAGTTCCTACTCTTTTTGTGTAAAAACAAAAGATCAAATTTAATTGGGTATATTAAAAACTGTATTGTGTTGTAATTTTATCAATTGTCAACAAATGCAGACTAGCTTTTTTAATATTTTCTTAGAGGTTAGCTTATTTAGACGGCCTCTTTGATTTACTCTCAGATGTTACCCAATTCGGACTCGCTTCTTCAATTATTCTCAATTGTCAACAAATGCAGACTAACTTTTTCGGTCGCATATGAATTGCAAATTAATCAAAGGAATGATATTGAAACCCCAAGACGCAGGCATTCAAGTCGGCTTATGTAGGAAATCGACTTTGTCCCCATTAGCTTTGAAAGCTGTGAGACTTTGTAAGATACTGATAGAATAGAACTTTGATATTCGCTGCTATCTTATTCTTTTCGCAAAGCGTTGTAGCCCTGGGTAATAGAAGCCTTTTGCAGTTATCTTGTCTTAAAGTTATTTTGGCTACTATTTGCGTAATTAAATGAGCGAGTCTGAATTTGGTCACATCTGAGAAAATATTGAAAAAGTCAGTCTGCATTTGTTTACAATCGCCTGTTGCATTGAAAAATCGAGTCTGAATTTGGTATTACATTAATTGCATTAATGAAATTATTTATTAACGTAATCCCGATTCCACTATTTCTCCTTTATATCAAACCGTATTAAATCGTTTGATACGGCTTTACCGCTATTCCCCTCGAACACATACATGGCGTCCTTTTAAGTCAAAACATATGTTTACTGTATGTGCAATTAAAAGAAGAGAATCATCAAGCCGCTATTTAAATACGGCCTTTTAGTTTTTTTGACTTTTTTGAATAGCTATGGTGATGTACGGCATTTAACAGTAGACCGTGCCCCATTATAATATTTTCACTTTTTCAAAATAAATCGTTGAACGCGGATGGTTGTGAAAATGCTTCGAATTTTACAACTTTATAGAGTAATTTTCCATAGCTTTCAAGTTAGTTTGCGAGTAAGCGGATATTTCCGCTTGGGGCGAAGAGTGTACAGTTATTGGCTTTTGTCATTAGGACCAACTTTTTCACCTTCCATTTATCTGAGAACATCCCCCCTTTTACACACTTTTTCGTATCACTGCCTTTAAGATCCTGGTTGGAAATGCTTTAAGGCCATGTGCTTTTCTGTTTCCGATTTCTTTGCAGGCGTTCAATATCCCTATTTTGCCGAGAGAAAAAGGTCTACTCTCTTGTTTTCTTCCAAAGCTTTTCCGCACGTATATTTTGCATCTTAACAATATCGAAGTAGAGTAAATACATCCTGTAATTGCCGTACACGGCCATTACCATGTCCGAGATCATTCTTGCGAACTCAGAGGCAGCTATTACGACAGACTACCAATTTGACTAAACGATTGAATATGATAATACCGCATCAAAGTTGCTAAACTAGGTGGTAATAGTGTTGTCGCGGTAGGCTTTGCCGAATTTGGATTTACAGTCAGTCTAACACTTCATTTCATTCACATTGTCGGCTTTTGACTAAGTTTAAGAATGTGTGCTTTGTGTCTGTGCGGGTAAGTGGCCTTTCACCTGATCACTCAAACCTGGAAAAAGGAGTCTTCGCACACGTGACACATAGCAGTTTTGATTCTCTTTTCCTCTTTCTATATGTGACACCCAAACTAACCAAGCGAATTCTGAAGCTCATGTAATGGTAGCTTTCTTTGATTTTATTTCCTCTTTTTTCTTAGCGACTGCTTTGTTGTAGAAATAATTTTACGCGCACTTTTCTTCATGCGGCTTCTTCTTTACGTGTGGATTTCAAGGGCGTTTGTAGGAGGCTACAAAAAAAACGTCTGGCTCCAGAAATTAACTCGCACATTTTTCTTTTGCTTTTTTTTTTTTGAAAGGATTTTTATTTAGAAAATTAAAAGAGATATATGCACAATATCATTTTCTTCACAATACATTCATTTAGTTATTTATTCGGCTCTTATTTACAAGTTAAGCTAATGCTACAAAATTTAGTTTTCCTCTTTCTGTTACATTTTTTTATACCATAAATAGATTTTTACTTAATTCATGACGAGGGATGATGCGCATACGCGTTAATGTATGTGAAGAAAATAAAATTCTCTCTCCTTTGCAGTTTATTCTGTACCATTCCATTGTTTTATTATTATCTTTGTGCAGTTGTTTTTAAATCTTATGTACTGTTTGTGGTACAGCAAACATACCCATATCAAACTATTTTTGTAGGCATAATTATTATGGATTTACAAATCAAAATTCTCCTTGTTGATAATAACAATTGCAAATATAATTTTTTTCTATTTATTTCCATCGCAAGCACAGACATTATTTATTTATATAGATAGACAGTGTGGTTTCTCGGTTTTAGTCCTCAATAAAATACAAATTACATATCTTTTTTTTTATTCAAAAACCACGGAGCGACTCCAAGTTTCTTTTATACAAAAGCAATTGCCATCTTTTTCAGGTTTATTGCCTTATAATTTATATATTTAAAATGATAAATTTTACCAGACAAGACCACACGCTAACTGATCATCCAAAACTCCCTTTCAAACCTTTTTCCTTTTTTTCTTCTTCTTGCATAGCGGCAAGCCGCTATTCCTGTGATCACGCGATTTTGCATAACAGAATGCCGTTATTAGTACATTTTCGACAAAAGCAGACCGACGGACACCCTACCCTAAATTTGTTCGCGGAGACTACAAACTCTCTTGTGTAAAAATTGCCTGCATCTGAGAGTAAACGTATAAAAATTTACCGCCAACTGAAAGTAAGCGTCTATGATTCTCAATAATTCCAAAAATGTGAGAAAAAGCGCCCACATTTGTTTACAATTCTCAATACTTGAACATGTATTTGTATAAAATCTGACCACTTAATTGAAGAAAGTACTGACAGCAACATGTACATGTGAAAGAAAAAACACTACTAGCATGAAATAAAACAAAAGCAAATAAAAAGCGAGAGGGAGCAAGAGAGAGAAACCAAAGAAATATTTATTTTTGCTCTCTACACGAAATGTTAAAAATGGTAAATACGAAAATTCCAAATGGAGAAACAAAACGAATTATAAACCTTGCAGATAGATATGATAAAAGAAAACCGAAAATTAGGTGACAAAGACGAGAGCACCTAAAATATATTGCTTTCGTTCAATTGATTTGGCGCAACGCCAATCGTAGCTGAGAAAAATTTGTTGTAGATAATTGAATTTACGTATATTTGTTTTCTGCCTGTCTGTCTGACGTAGTAGCGGTAATTTGTTTACAAACGCCGAGGGTAATTTTTTGATGAATTTTTCCTTAGATTTTCGAATTTATTGACGTGTTAGTTATTTTACTTATTGGTGATGAAATTAATTTTTCCTTTTTCTTGTGTTCTCTTGATAGCAAATCTTCTTGCAAATACTCTGCAAATGTAAACGAAAATATATAAAGTGGTTTCTTATTATAAAATATATTTAATACAAACATTTCTTGGTTGTCTAACTATTTAAGTCTAATAAATGGTTTTGACAGTTGTTGCTAAAAGTTTCAGAGCAAAGTATACGTTAATTACCAGTCAATGTAGAAAATTGATTGCCTACCGTAGCATAACAAAGGAAACAATACTTTCAAAAAATGCTTCCTATGTTCTATGTATAATGACATGTATTATCAGAGACAGATAAATGACAAAATGTTCCAACGTTTTGTTCAAAATTCAAACTAGTAATATCTCCTGAACTTTTCGTGTTTCTCCTATCAATAACACTAGCAGCTCTTTTAATTAGCAACCTCTTGACTTCTCATTCTTTCAATCTCATTATTTGAATGAACATAAATTACTCTCAGATGGCTGTGAATCGAGGTGGATTTCAGGCCCGCTCATAATGATATGTCATGTAAATGGCCGTACGTTATTTCTGGTATCTTTCAAACGAATAATACATTTTAGTAATTTCAGTAATTTGGTGTTTCAGAGACAGCTGCAGTGTGTACATATTTCATTTATATATTCTGGCGAACAGAAAATTATGATCTACTTGTTTGCCATTCCTGGAAGAAAAACTTTAAAAGAACTCAATAATCACAAAAATCTCCATCCATCTAAACGATCTACAAAGTCTTGCTCTAAACGCAAGGCTTTCTCTGTTCTGTGGTTGCGCTTTTTTCCGCCTGGGTAACGCTTTGAGGTGCTGTGATGCGTTTAAGGGGAGATAAATGCTCTTTTTTTATACAATTATATATATAAGATTATATATTATATAAAACCACTTATACGAATATATCTAAGAATTAACCGGAAATATTCAAAAATATGCGAATATCGAACGCCAGGTCTCTAAAAATTTACTAAAGCTAGTCAGGAGACGTTCAAGGGGAGATAAATGCTCTTTGTTTATACAATTATATATATAAGATTATATTTTATATAAAACCACTTGTACGAATATATCGAAGAATTGACCTTCATTCGCCTATTCATTCGCTTAGGACAATTCAGACATTTGATGAACTGTAGCATATGCTAGTGGTATACAATATCGATGTACAACGTTATTCTTATTAATCAAAGCAAGGAAAGATTCCTATGAAGAATTGTTGCGGAATATGCGATATCAGTGAAAAATTTGCTCAGAATATAAGGAAACTTATAGGAAGGCAGATATATGTTATTATTTACTCAGATCTTAAATCGCAATATTTTGTGTCAAGGGTTTGCAGAATGAAAAGCAATTTAACAATAAATTCAATATTTATGTTAGCAACATGAACACTGAACCTTTCTTCTGCTGTCTTCTAATTTCCATATCAAATAAGCATTCGGAAGATGCCACGTTATGTGTACATATTCTTGATCATTATCAAACTCTGAATCGATTCAAGAATGTCCCTATCTCTGTTTGCCTGCTTGTGCAATGCGTAATGCTGTGAACATTCTCACGGCGGAAAAAATGAAGCTATCGACATCCAACTTGGCAAAAGCATTTGAAGTTCTTACGTCCCGATTGGTATTGAAAATGGGCCAAATTGGTCGAAGGACTCGCCTGCAGTATTAAGCAAACTGAGAACATGTCTGTTTTTTAAAGGGAATAAAAAATTGGCTTTTTGCTTATTACTCATAAACTACAGCAGATAAATTTACAAAAATTTAAACTTGTATTCTTGGGGTATTGCAGCACTGCCTGCAGAAAAAAGGAAAAAATCATTTCATTTTTTTCATAAAGTATAACACATACGCCATATAAATTCCGTCGTCGATGCTAAAAGCTGGTGCTACATTACGATAATGTTTGCCATTACGTTCTGAAGCTGAGACATGCCGTTCTTGCGTATACTGATGCGAATTACCGACAGTCATCGACGCGTTCGCCGTATTATTGGAGGGATTTACAATAATATGCATAAGCTTATCTTTCACTTCGGCCAACTTGAGCTTCATAACGCTTGAAAATTTTGCAAACAGATCTGTCGTAGTGCCAGTTTCAGTTGGTCTTTTGTTAGATTGTTGAGCAATTTTCCCCTTTGGTTGATTTTTAAAGCAAATTAAGCACATTTTTGGATCATGTTTCTCCAGACAATCGCCAATATGATCTCCAAAATAGTTATGTATCGAACCGTAGCCACCCGTTAAGAGAGAAACATATTGGGTATTTTTCTGCAAAAACGATGCGACTACCATATGGGTATACTCATCTTCTTCCATACGACCACTACCCATAAAACAAAGATGCTCTTCCCCGGCACTAGAATTTGCTTCAACTTCATGACGCTAAGCCGTTAGTAAGCCTTGAACCGCTGTCACAAAAGCTTTAAGTTCTTGTAAAATTAAATTACAATCCAAATGAAACGCTGTAGATAAATGAAAGTGAAAATAGATTCCAAATCTGATAACACCGAGACCTTATCCTCATCATCGTTGCCTATTCGTTCCACTACTGTTTGGCAATCTTCCCGTAATTTGTTTTGAAATGGCAGGTCATAGAGTTCGTCAAATAAGCACATTTGATCGTTTTTATTGCGAACGTCCAGACAAACTTGCCAAACATCAGGCCTTAGAGCTTCCGGCAGGGATTTTCCTTGACAAATACTATAAATATCATTGACGTTGCAATCGTCTAACAAAGCCGATTCCATTTCGATGACCCTAAACAAACAAAGCAAACCATCGAAAATGGGACAATCCAAATGTCAATCTTATTCCAATAACTTTCATGAAATCTGAAGACATCATAAAAAGTTTGCATTCTATAATACAAACGTACCATAATTTACCATCCATTTTCTTGGTTTCAGTAAGGCTATCCCATCTTATATATAAATGTTTTTGCTTATACGTATAATGTTTCTGTGTATTGTCACCGTTTGTGAAATCCGGCCGATATTACGCGGTACATCTTTGTTATATGACGGGTAATCACATATGAAAAATTGAGATTTCGGTCTTGTGTTTATTTGTTTGGCAAAAACGGCTGTATATAAAAGTGAAAACTAACTTTTAGCTACGTGATTACCATCTTGCCGTTTCAAATTTTTACGCTCAAAGAATTTAACATTCCGAAGAGGATATTGTATGCATACTGTAATTTCTCCACAGGAAACAAACGAAAAAATTATCTAGCTTCGGAAAAATAGCTCAAGATAACAAAATAAAAGAATTTAAATATTACATCATTAATTCTAAAAGAAAATCCTTGTGCGATATGTACGAAAATTTGCACTTCGCCTCTCACCTTTCATTTTATGAGTCATTTTATTTTAGCGTACAACTATGGGAACTGAGAACAAAGTAGATTCAATGTATAACGTGTTTACGGTTGTGTTTCTCTAGAGTAGCGGATTAAAGACAATATAACAAAGAAAATTGTAAAATACAAAAATCCCAGAAATTGAGCTCATACTGAACTGAATTTAAACACCGAAAAATGTATATTCAGTAGAATATTAAAAATTTGTAACGAACAAAAATGTTCAGCGCTTTTACAGGTATAATAGATTAAGAAAATATCAAGTGTTCTTTAGACACAATTGGTATTTAAAATGGTAGTTAAAAGGTAATTAAAATTCCTCTTCCAAAATCCACATACGTATGAAAACTAAAGTTATTTTATGTAAATCACATCAATTAATTTAATTTATTGTATTTTATTAATCATCGTCACTGCTGTGAAAAATGTTGTTTATGTTATGCACACGAACGGAGAACAAGGGTTTATTATTTTTGATGAAAATAAACAAAAGCTTAGAAAAATTGTCCTTGCAACATTTTTATTTTGTTTATGTTTCTGTTTTTGTTTATATTTGGCACGTGTTTCATCCTGCTTTATGGAATTTTTTAATAAAAACTCGGATATATGAATGGATGCATAATTATTTATTTATTTTATTAAAGAAATTTAAAAAAGAATTATAATGCAAGTTTTCTTATAAAACATATCAAGGTAAGAGCTTCGGGTTTAAAGATAACATTCAGCAAGTACCTTGATTGGTGAAAGGTTGTAGGAAGTGGACAATTGAGAAAAGAAAATTACTTGCCATATATGATGCCATCGCCTTTCTCCGATCCTAGGACACTCATCATAGGACACTAATTGAACTTTTCGCACATAGGGATCCCTCACCACGACTAACACAAATTAGGTTAGAATTATTCGACTATGATTGTGATATTATCCATAAAAAAGGCGTTGATGCTTTATCTCGTATTGAATTAAATCTCAACAATTAGACAGTAAAAAGCATTGCTTTATACGTTTTTAGAAGTGTTCAAATTTATTAAAATATATTGAACTTTCTGTGTGTTTATTGCTAAAACTGATCATCGCGGATACCGTAATGTTTCCATTAAATCCAAAAAAAAAAAAAAAAAAGTTGAACACATTTGACATTATCCTCAGTAGTTTCCCAGACCTTTTCAAGTGAGTGGTTATTTCACAAATAAGTAAATAATAAACAACCATAAGGCAACCGGGGCCGCCGGATAAAAACTCGAATAGACTTCATCTATTAGCAGACGTATCCCCCCAAAGAAAAAAAAATAAAAATTCCGACTTTCCGGTGTTGCCAACCAGTAGCATCGTTCCTATCGACAAAAAATATATTGTGATTTCTCCAACTGATCCCTCCATAACAATTTCGCAATTCAGCCCTTTCGCTATTAAAAAAGCACTTGATTGCATTACAATGCATATAGACTCTATATCGATTATACGCGATGGAAATTTACTTGTCCTGGCTGGGAAACCGAGCGCAACCGAAAAGCTCATAACGTCTAAATCATTAGCCAATTTGTCCGCTATATCCACTAAACTGCATGACAAATTGAACTCGGTTAAAGGCGTAGTTTATGCCCCATGCTTAAAGCATGTGCCGGAAGATGAAATTGTGCGCGAAATGGGCAGTCAAGAAGTGGGTGAATGCTACAAATTCACCAAATTAAATGAGCGTGGAAAAACCCGCTCTCTTACAGGAAGAATTATTTTGTCTTTTGACCACAATCGGCTACCGGCAACGGTTGATGTAGCTTGGCTTGTAAAGTAGAACTCTACATTCCAAATCCCATGAGGTGTAAAAACTGCCAACGCTTGGGCCATACGGCAAAAAGATGCACCAGTCCTCCACTGTGGTCTTCCTCCACAACCTGAAAACTGTACGCGTAGCTTCTGCTTAAATTGCAACGATCTACACTCTGCGTGAGACAAACAATGCCCACGTTTTGTACAGATGCGTGATATTCAAAACAGAAAATTACTGTAGCATGGGTGAAGCGCGACGCAAATACCGGGAAAGAAATCAATCTGTAGCCCAAGGAATTGGAAAAAGTAATACCTACGCTGTTGTTGCCTCGCAAATCGAGCCTAATAAGCCTTTAACTCCAACTCCTTCAAATTGAAAACCTGTTCCACCATTAACCAAAAATTATATTGCAAAACCAGTTACATCACCCGCCAAAGATAATATGGAAAAAACCAAAACAACACCAAATATTGAAAAAATTAAAACAACAACATATATGCTAAAATCTAATATACCAAATTCTCCAGAATCTCCAGCTCTCAACTTTACTCAACAAATCACAAGTGGTAATGAATCCATTCTTTCATCCATTAATCAACCTTCACCTTCAAATTATTCACGTGCGCCCACTCGTTGCGCTTCAAATGTACCAAACCACCTAAATACAGATTATTCTGCTGGTAAGAATAAACCATTCACGAAAAATTCCTATAGCGACCTTCTCGACGGAGACGCTGCCATGTCAACTTAACCCTCCCTCCACTCTGCTTACATGTCATTACAATTAAATAAAGTTTTTAAAATTCTACAATGGAACATTAAGGGACTTATTAATAATTTTGACGAACTCCGTACACTAATAAGTGATGTCAATCTTTCAACCTTCATATCGCTTCGAGAGACCCACTGTAGAAGCTCTTTTAATTCTATACCACCCTACTCATATACTGGATACTTCACGAATGCTGATCAAAATTCATATTCCAAACAAGGAGTTGGTATTTTTATAAAATCAAATATACCTCACAAACGCATAAATTTTAGCTCAAACATAGAAGCCGTAGCGATACAAATAATGTTAAACATAAAATTTACAGTGCTTTCGCTCTATATCCCACCTTCGCAAACGTTTTCTCAGCAAGAACTCTACAATTTATTCTCCGTACTTTCCCCCCCATTAATTATATGCGGCGATTTCAACAGCTGGAATACCATCTGGGGCTCAACAGTGAACAATACTCGCGGTACTGTTTTAGAAAAGGCCTTCATTCAAAACAATCTCTGCATTTTAAATGATGGAAAACCAACTCATCATACATTTTCACATATTGATTTAACTTGTTGCTCTCCCTCACTTCTTCCTTTGGTTTCCTGGTCTATTTCTGATGATCTGCATAATAGCGATCACTTTCCAGTCAGAATCGATCTTAATCTTTCATCGTCCTCTGTTACTCCAGCAAAACAGGCCAAATTCCTCCTAGATAAAGCGGACTGGATCAATTACTCCAAACAGGTGGAGTAATTTTTAAATTCAAAGCCATTTAACGGGAACTGCAACCATGATGCTGCTATTATGTCTAAAGCGAATCGCATGGCTGCTCATCTTTCTATTCCTCAATCCAATACCTCTTTTAAACGAGCTAGGGTTCCTTGGTGGAACCACAAGCTTTCGTTTTTGAGGAAAAGTAAATGAATCTATGGCACCGCTTTAAGAGATGTAGAACCGGATCATTTGTTATTATACAAAGAGGCCAATGCTCTACTCAGGAAGGAACTACGAAAATCAAAGGCACTTCGTTTCGAACTTTTTTCGAGAGGAATTCACAGAAATACATCAATGAAAGTTGTCTGGAACAAAAACAACAGACTTAATGGAACTTCAAATCTAAACGGAATCTCTGCCATCTGCACTCCCAATGGAACTTTAACTGATGCAGATGAGATTTCTAATTGAGATTTCTATCTAAAAAAAAGTGTGGTGCGAATACTCCTCTCACAGCAACTTCTCCAGTGCTTTCATCGAAACTAAAAGGACTCCAATATCTCTTTCAAATAATATCGATAGATGTGCCATGTTCCTGGAGAATTGCATATCCACCTTAGAACATGGAAGTTCTCTCTCCAATTTGAAGGGGAAGACACCTGGTCTAGACCGCATCTCATACCAAATGATCAGCGCTATGGCTAAGTCTAGTAAAACGAAATTACTGGGCCTATATAAACGGTATTTTTGACTGGCCATTTACCCTACACGTGGAAACTTGCAACAGTTGTTCCAATTCCAAAGTCAAAAAATGTCTCCATCGAATCGGATTATTGCCCAATCCATCTTTTATCTTGCC